AGTGTTTGACTGCTCAGAACTTCTGGGCATTAGACTTATTTCTATTATTATTTGTAAGCGACATCTCAATTGTAATTTAGATTTTTTGAAGGTTTTTCCTCTACGTTTTACTTCTGCAGTTTACATTAGTAAGACGGCTGAATCTAAACTGTTTAAAAAGTTGCTGGTCATACTCGTTTTTCCGCCGCAAAATTGAGACTTTGAGACTACGTTAAAGTGATCGTCTTATTCTTTTCTTCAGGACTTGCCCGGACACTTTTGTAATTGAAGTCTCAAAATAGCGTATATGAGGTGATTTGTTTAGAGTGCATTGTGTAGTTTGCTAAATGGTGACCTTTTTTGCATTTTTTTTGCCGTCGCCAGAGCATTTTTTGCCGTCGCCAGAGGGAAGATGTTTTCAAGTTTTAGGGAGTTGCGTCTTTTGAGCAGGTGAATTCTTTTGGTTGAATACCGGTGATACATGAAAAAATAATTTTTTTTCTTTCAAGTTTCTGGGAAAGTTAAGCAGAATTTGGGGGCAGGAATGGACTGTGACTTGTCGCGTAGTTGCAACCATGCACGAGTGTCCCTAGATAGGATCTGGAATTCAGAGGGTTAGACAATAATGTTCTACTTTTTTGTAAATAAGGAAGTATTTTTTGAGATTATGTGCCTTTACGTACTTTGACAGTTTTAGTATTTGGACTCTTTAGTCAGGGCAACAAGAGTTAGTTTGTTATTTATTAAAACCAATAATAGTTTACTCAGCTTTACTGGGATTGGTTGTGATGGATAAATTAACTCTACGCTTCCTCTGAACGATTGATTTTTTATTTGTAGTGTACTGGATGATTTGAAAAATTTTGTAGTCTCGGTGTAAGAAATAACTAAATCAAGAAATTAAAAGAAGTAAATCCGTGAAGGAGAACGGAACAGTGTATAACGATGCTGCCAGAGAGACTTAAAATAAAAGTAGTCAGACATTCGCAGGAAAGTGACCAGGAAGAAACTCTACGGTAAATGTAGAAACAAATTTATCTCACAGAAATTTGTGTTGTACTACTGCCGAGGATAGAAAATCTTTTTTGTACATTTGGATAGGAACGCTATCGTTACAGAGCTTTTTACCTAATTCAAATTTGAATATTTAAAATTTATTAGTTATAGCAATTAAGAAATGATTGCTACATATCTGTTTTTTAAATCTAGCCTTTATCTGAAACTTGTAATTCTTTATTCATATTCTAAATGAAAAGAAGTAACTTTTTGCGGCTTATGCTTTTATCTGCTCAACAACCTGTACTTCGGAGAGTTCGTATATTCGTATCCCGCGATTAGAAAATTGTTTTAAGAAAATGTGAATAAAGTCATGGTTTTCAGAATGTGCTTTTTTTATGGGTTTGTGCGGTAAAGAGAATTCATTCAGCTGGTGCTGTGGTCTGCAAAGGGATGGACAAACGTGATACAGCTTTTCAAGAACAGGCATTAATTCAGTCAGCCTTTTTTACAAACTTATTCGTCCTTAACAATAAATGAGGTTTTCTTAAAGCAGGTCACATTCTTTTTTTAAACAGTATTTTCATTAGGTTTCGATTAACAGTGTGGGGAAGATAGAAATCTGTAGTGAAGGAATGAATAACTTTCAAATTTCATACGTTCTACAAAGCTATTCAGTCTGCTATCGGACTAAAAAAAAGCGAAGAAACGCTGTACTTTGCAGTATAGAAACTCTTGATAAGAGGTTTAAGAAAAGGTGAAGTTAATTGGTGATGTATGCATTTAATGAGATCTCATAGTTATTTTGTTTCTTGTATTTTTGTACTTCTTCGAGTGAAGTTTTTTTTATTGTTTACTTCAAGTTATCTATTGCTCAGTCTTTTGCTTTTATTTTAGTGGTGCAGTTTGAGCTAATTCGGTGAATGGACTCTTTTGCAAAATGTGGTAACCTTTGTTTTTTTTAACTGTCACATCTGCAAAAGCTGAGACACTTGTTGCATTGAACAAACTTGAAATTTTTTGGAGAGGGGCAATTCACATTGTGTGTTTGTTAATGTTTTCAATGGATTTCTTGCAAACAATCAAAAATATCAAAAAAAAAAAAAAGTTTAGGAGGATTACGGATTGAAATTTGTTGTTTAGGCATTTACTTCTCCGATCATCAGAAACTTTTTTGGCCTAGAGTTCTGTCAGGTAACAGGCTTTGGCGTGCAGCATAAGTTATTTTCATTCGGTTTCTGTTTAAGTTTTGAATTTTTATAACCTGTCGACTTATTAAAATACTGTCTCAAATTTATCGTAAGACTTAGTCTATTGTTTTTGGCTATATGCAGTAAATTTTAATTGGGTACTTAGCGAGGAGGACTGTGTGGTCTTGAACTAAAAGGTTTCGTCATGTTATAAGAAACAAAGAGGAAACTCGTGGGTTACACCCTTTGAGCGAAGAAACGGTTTTTTGCACTTCTTGCGTTATCGTGGTGAAGCATAGCGGGCGGTCTTTGAATTTTTTGTTTTGCACTTCGAATGTTTGCTGGTTTTTATGACTGGATGGTTGGAGAGTGTCGGTAAAACCAGAAATGATGGGAAAACATGTTAGGTAGCCGGAGTTGCATAATCGCTGATAATTTATGTAAAGGAATCTAGAGATTATGATAAGTAGGTTGCATTTTTTGCCAGAAACAGTTGAAATATATTATTGTAACAATGTTAACATTTGAGATTACTAACGGGACGAATAGTTCTGTTTGGTGGTTTGTATCAAAACATTATTTTCCTGTTTGAAAGACCTGTGCGTCTGTAATTTCTATGCAGATTGTTTTATTCGTTGTTTCTGCAGTTCTCTTTGGTTGAAAAAGGAAAGAGGCTTACATTCTTTTATTTAGACAAATAAAAGAAGCTGTTTTGACACGTGCAGTTCTTATCAGTTTATCAGTTTCTAGTACAGTCATTTTTTGCTGGTTAAACAGGAGAACAAACTTTAAGAAAGTTAGTTTCATTCACCAGCTGCTGGATTGTAGTGGAGTTTTCATAAATGTTTTTCATGCTTTGAAGCAGTAAGTTTGAGTTTCAAAAACTGAAATTATGTTTGTAAAATTTGTCTTATCATTGGGAATTTCAAAAAGTTTACAGTATTTAAAAATAAGAGCGTTTTAAATCCGAGGTCGATTTGGAAACTTGGGAACCCATGTTGTTTGGGCCTCAAATGAATTTTCTAGTAGTTTAAATTGGTAGTTTGGGTAATTAGGTTTGTTGTGTTCTGAAAATATCGTATATTCAAACAATAAAGTTGTTCGTTTTTAACAATTGACAGTTTCTAAAGCATTAATTACTTTGCTGGGTCGCCGAAAATTGGAATCAAAATCAGTCTGTTCTTCTTAAGCTTGAATTTTTTTGAAATGATTTGGAAATTTCTGTGTAATTTACTGTTATGCAGCACTGGAATTGTCCTCAGAGTACACAGTTTGGTAAAACATTTCGGAATTACTTTTTTTTGTTGAACATAATCTTTTTTTAATGGTAGTATTTTACTGGAGACGATATGTGAAAAATTCGTTTATCCATATTAGGTTGGGAGGTTCGTTTTTAAAAGCCGATTCTACGTGCGTTTGGCTTTTTTAATTTTTTGAAGAAGTTTCACTTGCATAATTTTTTTTGGAGTGGACTTGAATTCAGGTTGCTGACAGGTTTGCTACAAGCAGTGGCAGTCGCTAGTGAAAGATTCTGGTATTTACAAGTTTAGGAAGGTTCTTTAGTTGCTAAATTTTAAAAATTTATCGATCTTTGGAAAATGGTTTTTTCGAGCTGAATTTTCATGGCAGTCTCTATGTCTTCCATAGATTTGATGGAGACTGAAAACATACAGTTATTTTACTGATGAAGTTTGTAGATGAAGTTTTTTGCTCCCAATTTTGATTCACTGTCTGTGTCCTGCGTAATAATCAGACTGTCATAGATGAAAATTTTCAGGATGTCGCAGAATCCTGAAGATGGAACAGCAGATGTTTATTGGAAGTCGCGTCCTGCTATGAACCAGGTACGAAATGATAGACCTTAAATTTCACGTTCGTCTTTTTTTCTTGACGCAGTGCTTTGTAGGAACAATTTGACGCTGAATTCGGCTACGCAACCCCCCCTGACAACGATCCACTCAAGAAATTAGCAAAAAAATGTTTTATACATTTTTGCAGTCCATTTTCTTCCCTAAATAGTTTTTTAAACTGTGTCGTAGGGTTTATCCCACTCATGAAATGGCTACCTTCATACTCTTTAAAAAACGATCTCATACCCGATGTCGTTGGTGGATTGACAATTGGCATTATGCACGTTCCACAAGATGTGTTTTGTTTTATTTTTTGCGGTCAAGATTAAGGAGATTGTTCAATCCTACTTTATATAACATCAACAGTACTTTCTAATTAAAACTGTAAAAAATGTGGTTTCTGGGGGAAGTCGCGTTTTTAGGTATCGCTTACGCCACTTTAGCCTCTGTACCTCCAGTTGTTGGCCTTTATGTGTCGTTTTTTGCTCCACTATTTTACATGATTTTTGGCACTTCGAGGCATACTTCACTTGGTTGGTATTTTTGCCTCACTCGTATAATTAGTTTTCCATAAAGTTTTTGTTCAAGTCTGCAGTATTAGGGACTTTAAATTTTAATGCTTTGTTTTCTCTGTAGAAGCCTAATTGAATAATAAAAATTTTTCATTGGATTTTATCGGTAGCTTTTGAATAGGTTCATTCGCTGTTGTTAGTCTGATGTCAGGGATGGCCATAGAGCGACTAATTTCCAACGACGACATTTCTTCAGAAGGTGCTTCTAATTCATCTGCTCTTCCTACTGAGGCCCAGTTCAGCCAAGGCCGACCAACTTACACGGAAGCCGCATCGGCGCTTACTCTGTCCATTGGAATTATTCATGTTTGCCTTCAGTACTTAGTAATACAACAGTTAAAAATTTCTTCAAGTTCGTTTTCGAGCGCAAGCGTTCGCCTGAAGTAGAATGAGGTTGAACTGAGATTTCTAGAAGGAAAGTTTTAATGAAGATTTCGTTTCAACCGGTAAAACAGAATTGGTTTCCAGATTCTAATGGCAGTGTTTCGTCTTCAGTTTCTAGCCACATACTTCTCCGATCAAGTAGTTGCTGGCTTTTCGACTGGGGCTTCTATCCATGTTTTAGTTTCGCAGCTAAAAGAAGTTTTTTACGTTCGAGGGATGCCGAAACGGAGTGGATTTGCTCAACTCTTTTTGGTTAACAAATTTACCGTATCCTCTGCTTTTCTAATTAAAAATAAGTGCTGAAATACAAATCTTTGTGCAGTAATATAAAAAAATACATAGCAGGATAAAAAGTACTTGTTTATAGCAAATTTATGATGTGCTTTGTCGACTGACACAGGTAAACGTATCTACGCTAATTGTCACACTTTGTGCTGTAGTATTTCTTCTGGTTGGAAAAGAGCTGGTTAATCCATTTATAAAAAAGAAACGGTGGTTCTTCATGCCTATACCTTTTGAATTAATCCTGGTGAGTCCGCAAATTGATGCTCTTCAACTTCAACTTAAGACATGATCATTTCAAATAGCTGCATCTCGTAGAACCGTCTGAAGTACAGGAATCATGTCCAAGTTATTTTAAATGTCTTTTAACGTAGTTTGCAACTCCAGTGCACTTACAACTTACATTTGTCCAGATTATCCTTTCAACGGTGGTTTCAACGTTTATGGATCTCCATGGGAAGTATAATGTAAGAGTCGTTGATGAAATTCCAACAGGGTACGGTAAAACGTCGGAAGTCTGACTAGTTTTTCGTCAAGGTTTATAAAAGCCTAGCAAAACTTTGAGCATTTCCTGGTAATTCTAATGTAAGTATTTTCCTGACGAGCTGTGTTAAAGTTTAATAGTGATTTTTTTAGATTCCCCTCTCCTGACTTCCCAAAGATGAAACTCTTCACTTCACTCTTCGTTGACGCTTTTCAGATAGGAATGGTTATTGTGGCAGTACATATCTCAATGGCTAAAATGTTCGCAAAGAAAGCGGGATATAAAATTGATGCTGGCCAGGTGGTACCATTGTCATCATTCCATAGCTCTGAGTATTCCAAAATGTGGCTCACTGTATTCTTTCCTGCTTCTACAGTAAACAGGTTGCTTCTCAGTGTGCTGTCTAGGTTCAATCGTTAAACCATTCTTTTAAAAACTAAATGTGGAAATAAATTCCAGGAACTTTATGCGATTGGATTGACAGCAGGTTTAGCCAGTTTCTTCCCAGTTTATCCTATTGCGTGCTCTCTAGGAAGAACCGTTACTAATGTAAATATTGGCACAAAAACTCAGGTTATTGCCAAAAACTTCCCTCTCTTACATTAGGGGTTAATAACGCTCCTGAAGTTCTGTTAAGTTCTGTTCACTTTTACCCGTTTTTTGCCAGTTCTAATTATTGTTAATTCACCTCATTTCGTAGTTATTTTAACAAAAGCCTTGTGGTTCGAAAGCCAAATCACTTCACTTGAGATTTTGGGTATACAAAGTGTCATTTTTGTGTTTTCACGTCACCTGTTTACGTTTGGTTTCGCCTCCAGTAAAGCTTCGTACTTGGTAAATACGCAGTAGAATGCTGAGTAATTGGAGGTGTTTCTTAGATATAAAAGGAGCTTGCCTGAGTCAACTCTACATTAAATTGACGACAATTTTGCACTCACAGTTGTCTAAAATTTTCAGTCGATTTGATTAATTTCAGTTGTCATCTGTTTTTTCAAGTGGTTTATTAATTGCAATTATCGCATACTTCGGGCAATATCTTTCGGCATTACCAATGGTAAAGTTTCTTAGTAAGGTACTTCGCTTTTCAACAGGAGTAGGAAGAAAGGGAATCGTTAAATATCCGTAAAGTTCTTTCAGTGCGTTTTATCTTCTATCGTCATGGTCGCTTTAATAGGAATATTTAAAAAGATAACTGATTTGAAGAAATTGTGGCCAGTGTCAAAGATAGATTTTGTAAGTTGTCGTTTGCTGTAACGTAGTTTTCACTCTCCATCTACGGAGATCTAAGCATTGTCTTGCTTATTTTATTTTTGCTGTCTTTAGACCATATGGTTAATAAGCTTCCTTGGCACAGTTGTATATGACGTCAAAGAGGGCTTAATGATCTCCATAGTGTACGCTTTGTTAACAACCGTGTTCCGTGCACAGTGGTGGGTATTTTTTTTGTTACCATCTCCATTAAGTGTACGTAATTTGAAGGAAGCGTCGATTAAAGTAAAAGTTGCTGATAAATTTATTGGAGTTAATAGCAAACAACGCGTAGAAAGTGTAAAAGTGCTTCGCACATTAGAGAGAGCTGAGATTAGCAAAAAATTCTGCATGATCACGAACTCTCAGCTCGCAGACTTCAATGTCGCTATCCTCCCCGACTTCTCTACGACGTGTTCAAACCCGCTTTCTTCTTTGTTCATTTGCCAGGAAGCGCCATTTTGAGCAACATATTCAGTTATAGGTGTCGTTGGCATTTGCTGTCGAACCTGAAAGATACAAACGATTATAGAGATTTAGAAAGGTATCACAATATTGTCAGCTATGAGGTGCGTCTAAAATTTGTACACGTTGCACATGTTTTTTAAAATTGAAATGCATTCATAAAGTATGAAAGCAGTTTTCTTTACAGTACAATTAAAAAGCTGCTTACTGTAAAGGACCTGGCATAATTTGATTCTTTCAGCGAATTTTGATTTTTCGTTTCGATTCACCGCTCTTGTTCACCAATGTTGAAAGGTTTAAAAGCGTTATCCATAAGGTCAGTTCTCTTTCGTGAAGTCCACTAACTTGAAGAATAGATCAATTCTAGCACTACACTTTAATCACAGAACTTCCTTTTTGCAGCATTTAAGTGAATGGAAATCGCTGTCTTTAAACACCACTAGCGAATATAGTTCAATTAATAAACTAGTACCATCGAAGGAGGACTTAAATAATGCAGGATCGATTAAGAAAAAGGTGACAGTTTAAGTTTAATCATTAATTAGATTTGAGTAGACCAATTTTACCTTAGGGATACAAGAGAATTCTAGTTTTTTTTAAGAAGTCAGTATAACTTTTTTTTGTTTTTTAGTCAGGTTTGGAAAACCAGCGGTCTTTGCACTTTGTTATTGACTGTTCCGGGTTTACGTTCATTGACTACATGGGTGTCAGTGCTTTGAAGGAGGTATGACTCGAAATGCTGACTAGGTCGAGAAGTTTATTTTGTCCGTTTCCTCATTAAAAGAACTTCCAAGAAATGTTTCAGATAAAAGCTCCTCGCTTGTAAACAACTTATACGTTTTAAAATGCATAAAGTTAGGGATGTGGTGAATTGGCTTCAGAGTGCAAAAGGAATTTTGTAGCTTGTTGGGCAGGTAACAAGCGTTAAGGACGACCTCTACTAAATTAAGTTGCAATGTTTTGAATTTTTTTGATAGTTCTGATTTGTCCTTCCAATTTTCTTTTATCGACGCATTTTCTCCAAACTCGTTGAGAAATAAGATTTAGAATAACACTCTGAAGAAAAATCAGAGGGCCTGAGTAACAGACAGTAAAGTATATGCTCTACGGTTACATTACAGCCTGACCATTGCTTAGGGAAAGTGGCTTGTAGCATGGCCGTATCCTGTACAACTTCATTCAATAGACTTGGTGCAAACATTTTTTCTAGCAAGGTGAAAAGCGTACGCATTTTGGTTTTGCGATTTTTGGTGCTCATAGTGAAAAAATTACAGCTGTAACACTTGCGGCCTTGGTTGAGTTCTAGCAGAAAGTGGCAGTCGCGTGAATCTTTTTCAGTCCTGTTTAGGGATGTAAGTGCTAGTCAGCATTCCTTCCTCCCAGACTGAGCAGTTCTTAACTAAATTACAGTCGTAAGTTATGCACGTCTATGAAGCAGTGCGGGTGTCTTTTGTCGGTGTACAAATGACTTGTTGCGGCATCATCTAGCCAACCATTCGGAAAGTTTGAGGGGTGCATATGTGGAAATTTGTTAAGTCTACCATCGCTCTTTTATTTGGAGACAGACGGAATGAACACTTGGACCCTTTAGTCCTCCAAAAATTTAAAATTCAGTCTTTTCTGTGATGTGTTACAGATCTTCGACGAAATGCGTTCTGAGGGAGTTCTTGTCTACTTCGCTGGTGCTAAAGGTATGTTTCTCAACTGTTCAAAAGGAGACGTTGATTTCTTGAGCGCAACAAATGATTTTGCAGCCCCAGCAAGAGAGTTGTTTGCATCGAGCGGCTTCTACAAGTTTGTACCAAAAGAAAACTTTTACCCAACTATTCAAGACGCTGTTAGCATTGCAAGAAGAAGGCAAGACTCGTAAGTTTTTTTTTCTATCCATTTTTTTGTAAGTCCCCCCACGAATGTGTTGTAGGTTCGTCACCGACTCCAGTCCGCAGTCGCCGCAGTCAGATGAGAGACTGGGGCAGAGTGTTGGAGATAGGGATGATCTGTAAAACTGATTTTTTGCTGTGATGCCAAAGGGTAGTACCGACAGTATATTTTTTTCTCAAAATTACGACAAGTAAATGAGTGTGAAAGGATGTCGTCTGTACACTTTATTGGCAATTTGAAAATTCAATTTTTATACACTAGAAAGTGAGGATCTTTTCGAGGTAAGATATATAGGAGATGGACAGTCGGAGAATTTCGATTTTAGAGAGCTTTTTATTCATCGGCAGCGTTGGTATAAGCGCACGAAGTTTTGCGAAAGCATTGTTGAAGGACTCCACGCGGATTCTGAAAAGGAGATTGTGTTTAGCTTAGAGTGGCATGTTAAAGTAAACGGTGTGCAGACCGTCTGCCTTCATGTGACGAGGCACAGGAGTATAGTTCATATCATGTTGCAGATAGCAGTTCTGCGGTAGCCCAGACACAGGTCAGGTTAAACAAAAACCTAGGTGGGCTTTTGTGCTGTAAAAACACCAGCACTTAAGCTGGACGCCTTCTTTGACGCACTATTTTATGTATGTACGATTCGGTTAAGTTTAAGCGTGCAGTATTACGATCGGTGACACGCCTCTGCTGCTTTTATTTTTAAATTTCCAAATGGGTTTGCATCAAGCATTTAGCTGGAACTCCGAAGAAACCGACGGCAGCAAGCCATTTCAACGTATTCAAACCAATGTTTTGTAAGCCTTTTATGCGGCATTATTTAAATAAAAACTTGCGTAAAACACTGACTAATTAGGCGCGTCAAGTAGATCAGTTAAAAATTGGGTGACAATCAAATACCACGAGTTTTGCGTCTAAGAGAGTAGAGGGTGGGCGGGGGTTGGGGGATGGGGGCTGGGAGGAAGAAACGTAGGGATCACTGGCAAAATCACAGTTTGTTCTTCAATTGCTTGGACTTGTTATCATTTATCCCTCAGCTGGTGAGTTGATTAGAGCTGTCCGGATCGTCGTGTGTTTCGCCTAAAGCCCAATGCCTGCTCATCGCAGGAAGACACCCTTCCCTCCAAATCATTTACGAGAGTTCACAAGTTTCTTACAGAGAACGGAGGGTGAGGATTAAAAACGGAGAATGAATGGTACGCCTATACCTAGTCCCTCAGCAGCTTATAACATGCGGTTCATTATGGACAATGCTGAATGGGTGTTGGCAAAAATTTTGTTTCTAGATTTCATAATCGGCAATACCGGAAAATTTGTCTTCTTTCACTATCAGCAAAACTAAAAAGTCCATCTCTGAAAACCCGACCGATAAACCTAGTTTAACAAAATATTAAAAGCATTTACACTTCAGTAAGTATCAGAGTGTTAAGAAATGAAGGACTGGAGGAACTAGGAATATAAGGATTAAAAGCTTTTCGCGAGAAGTCGCGTATACGGACAGATAAATTAGCTCTGATATGTCTTAAATTTTATTAAAAGTAACTGCCTCCTAAATCTGAATTTTGGGGACGGAACACCAAATGCCTTCGGATTTTGGTGAGCCTTATACGGACGAAAAGCTATCAGCAGCATTTTAAAACCAGAATCATTAAGTAATAATGTACAGCTGAAGTTAATAAATCTTGGCGAATTGCAAGCTCTTGAATCAACAACTCATTTGAATTTGAGGATGACTACTTTACACTGGCTTGGTTCGTCCTCCAATCAGAACCTTGGAAGAAGGAAGCGTTTCACACTGAGTGTTCATAGCCATACGAAGGTCTGTTTGAACCCCGGTCGGTAGCAATTATTGTAAAAACACAATTATTCTGAGAATGTGAAGGTTTTCTGTATGTCTCATCTTGCTGCTGCAAAACTGAGAAAACTGGGCAAAATGGTGTTTTCCATGCAACAATTAGTTACCCTAACAGAGCGAGTTTGAACAAATTACTGTTCAAAGGACAGTGTCTCTACTTTTTGTCCCAAAGACTCCAGTTTCGCAGTCGGATATTAAGAAGACCGGGTAGTAAAAACTGATTGGAATAATAACCTCCGCAGATAATACGACTGATGGTAATAACAATGCTGAAGAGGTAGTGTGATAGAGCCACGAGCTCACACTTGGTTCTCACGAGCTTTAAACTAAAAACGCACTGCCATTCCTAAACTTTTTAAGGGGTGGGGCTGTACACAGGTAAGCCTTAAATGGAAAAAAACTGCGGGAGATTGAGAGACTTCAAGAAAAAAATATTTTGGTTTGTACCTACAAACGCTAATCTGTGATATGTCACCTCCTTAAATTTTTTTGATGACTGTCCTGCCTACCTTTTGTAATACCTAAAGTTCTCTCAATTTTTACTTCTCCTGAATCTTTTTAAGACTGGTCTCTCCAATTTCTCCAAGTAACAAACTGTGACCACGTCGGGTTTTGCAGATTAAACAAACTGAAGACATCTGATTGTGTCTAGTAAAAGAACAAGTTTCGTGTGGCTTATAAAATTGCCTTGAAAGTTACCTCTTCTTAAGGTCAAAACAACAAGCGACCAGAAAGTGGATTCCAGAGCTCTTTTTTATTGCTTCTGCTGAACTAAGTCTTCAACCGGAAAATCCAGTCTATTAAAAAAAAAAAGTAAAACCTTAGTTAGGCATAATAAACTGTAGGAGCACTTATGTGCTTGCCGTCTCAGTAACATTAAATCTCAAAAATAAGTTAAAGCAAGCTCGACATGACACCATCCGAGCTGCAAGTATGCCACCAACCAGAAAAAAATAAATGTAGAGGGATTGATGTCGCAGAACAGTATGAAGCACTAATGAATGAGAAAGAAGCGTATTTGACTAAGGACCAGACAAATGAGTGAAAATCGTCACGAGAAACTTAGCATAGCACTTAATCAGTCGCCAAAAATTGTACCAAATTAAATAAATTGATACTTATTCCTTGCGTTGAAGGTTTAAAAATAACTGGTTTTCTCTTTTTACAGACATACATGCAGGTAGCAGCAACAAACACATCAGAGCATTAAATCTGCGCTAAGTAAGAGAGAGTTAAATGCAAAGTAATTCGTTCTTGTCTACCTTCATATTTTATCTTTTGTTTAACTCAGGTATACTAATAAGACTTTTACAAATAGAGTAAAGGAGTCAAAGGTATAGAAGGTGCGTAGCTCATTTGGCAGGGAAACAAGTTATTGTATTGTAGTACTTTGAAAACACAACTTTTTTAACACTTATAACAGCTCATAAAAATAATTAGTTTATAAAATGATTTCCTCAACAATTAGCCTTATAAGTTCCACTTGCACCAAGATCTAAAATAGGAGATAACAGATTAGCCGTTCAAATTAATTGGCCTAACCGTTTAGAAAATAGTGTTTCTCATTTTGCATAAAAAGCGCAGGTTATAGAAGCCTACAGAAGTCTCTGTGTACAGCGTTGGAAAAGGCAAAAGAAGTGTCAAACTTAAATAGCAACAGAGATAATTTAGAAGGCATCGACCTGGTGGCTAAGAGTTCCAAGAATGTAGCCAGTGATTTAAAAGTTATACGAGCGCAGTTTCGGATGTACAGGCAGAAATGAAAAGATCAAACCTTTCACGAGTGGCGTGCAGATTCCGGTATTTCGGTGTTGCTCGTCGTCGCCGTCTCTTTTCAGCCTTAGATAATTTCTTAAGATTTGTTTTATCTAAGTCTCGCATAATGTTGAAAACATAACCGTATATTAGCAACAAAGCAATAAGGCCAGTGATAGAGCGCTAAGGCAGAACAACATTTAGTTAATCAATTGAACTCAGTATCCGTCTAATTGTCCATAAAACTACCGTAATATTTCAACGTTAATTTCATTTCCCAAAGAAACTTAATTGAATCAAGCAGATTTTATTGACGAATACGAATATCTATGCGCAGCACACTAATGCTGGGCAGCAACTGCTACAGATAATGCTTTGTTGCGACGATATCACTTGGCTAATTTTTGTAGTAGTAGAATTCCCTTTGAAACAACAGTGCTTTACTTTAGACAGGAAAGTGATTCTTTCAAGGACCTTAGGCAGCGGTCTCTTAGATCAGCAAACATTTTTGACTTCAAGATTCAAAATACAGACAATACCCATGGGCAATTTTTCTCCTCCATCTAATTCCACTTCTGTTGAGCCAGTAGTTAATTTTTTTAGCTTAAATTAATCAAAAAACAGAAAAGAAAAGTGACTTACGTAAGCAAAAGTTGGCAATTTGTAGTAAGTTCAAATTTCTGCCTTTTCATTCGACTCACTCCCCTATAAATCTTTTTGACTGCTTGCGATATATTTAACATCATTGTTTAATTGCAATGCAGCAGATCTATTGTAAAAGTAATCCGTCTAGACACCTTCAAAGTGTGCTGCTGCGAAACCGCTCAAATAAATTAAATGATCAAAAATTTGTCGTTTTTGCTACTGCCATCATAACACTCCATTCAGTATTGTCCACAATTGGCCCTCGTAAACAACATGCCATTTATTCATCCCCCTTTGTTCTACTTCAGACGGATTATCTGCTAAGACACGTTATTGCATCTTGTATTTTTATTAAATTAATTTACCATTCTTTAGGAAATAAGCGAATATATATATATATATATATTCAAGTTCAAAATTAAAGATCTTTTCCAATTAGCTACTAACTTTTAATAAAAATTAAGTTTTCTACAGCACTTATGTTTTTTTATGAAATAGATCTATTAACGCTTTTCATATGTGAGAGGGCTTTAGGAAGAAACTGGAAGAAAACTGCAAAATTTTTGAAAAAATTCACTTCTACTTGATCCGAGCTGATCACGTTTGAATCCTACTTTTATTCTGTATGCAAATTCTCAGCACAAATAAGCACTCGTTCAAAGTATCACGAGACCTAGTTATTGTCGAATTTCAGAAAAAATGTATCTTTTGTGCCAGAGATTCAGTTTTTTTTTTATCCTTTTCATTTTCCGTGTTTCTTTCATAGTTTTCATCACTTTTTAGGACTTGACTTTAACATGCTTTTCTCGCCCAACAATTTTATGCCACTTGTTATAGTAGTACTCCCTGTTTCTTAGCTGCGAAAGCAGTGATGCCAAAAACGGCATGCAAAAAAATGAATGAAGATCAAGGAGGTCAAACAAAAAAGGACAGCTAAAATATTGCAATGCCCTCCCGTTACAGTAAAAAAAAAAAGCAAAAAAAAAAAGCAAACTCCAGATAACACAAAGCACCAATCTTAGTATCTTCTAGACTATTCTCCAAGAAACCACCATTAGCCAAACTTTAGACGTCTTGCAAAAAAGAAACTTTTGTAGGATATAAGTGGTCGCAGAGAAAAACTGGCGCAATTTTTTGCTTCGTCCCTTATCAGAAAGTATAACTGACAATTTCGCCTACATTACAGCCAAAGACAGCTCAAGATGTTGTTTCCACGTAACTGATTTAATTGTTGCTAGCTTCCGATGGCGAAAATGAATAAAATAAGAACTCTCTAGAGGAGAAGTGATAAATCGAATTCTTCTCAGGTAAAATTAAAATAAGTTCTGCATTTACACCAATATTTCTACATTTGCTTCACCATTTGCACAGATGTTTTTTACAAATTTAGAAAGTGTATTGTTTTGCTTCTCTTCAAAAATATATGCCAGCACTGCACTTTTTTCCACAAAAAAACTACGTTTTAACCCTAAACAATTTTGTAAAACTAATAAATTGCAAGCTGACTGAAATGCAGAAATTACTCTGTATTTGAAGCAAAAAGTTTTAAAAAATTGAAAACTGCGCTCTTTTCAAAAGCACAGATCAGGGCGTCCTAAACACGATTAGCAATCAATATCGAGCCTTCAGTTCTAAAAGTCTTGTTTAAATCTGCATCCTTGGTCCTGAGCTAACATAGTAGAAAATTAAGGCAGAAATTGAAGCATAGTTCAAAAGATTTTTATTCCGCTGCCAAACTCTATTTTTGGCATCACGAGGTTTCGCGGTTGGACTCTCGTGGTTCTCAGTCATTCTTCACTTCTTTCATCTCTTCATCCATTCCTTACAAATAGAAATTTACTCGTGGAACAGCAAAGTAATGCTGACCCTCTGTATGCCTACTAGTTTTTTTCATCATTCTCTTCTCCCGTTATTTATTACTACTTTTAATAGCGATCACTGCGATTTGCTTGTTGCGATTTGCAGTGCAAACGAACTTCCAGTTCAAATGACAGTTCAAAGCAACACGCTAAATGGAGGGTTAGTTTTTTTGCCTAGATAGACAATTAATTTGCTCAGACTCCTCCCTCATCAATGACGCCATAAAATGCTTGCAGAAATCTTTACGTCCAACTACTGCTTATCTTATTTAGCTACAACCTTCCTGGTAAAAAACAACAGCTTAACATTCCTGCAAGCAAAATGCAGTCACAAATATATGAGTTTACTGGTAAAATGGAAAGGGTCAGAATCTGTATTTTACTTCTTTTAGTAATTGAAATAAACCAAACCATCGTAAACACAACCAAAATAGATCCAACAATCAAAATACTTCCATTGCCGAAGCCTATAATCTTTTGTGTAACTCGTACCCCAGCTAACCCTATCGTATATACACTTCCGCTTTATTGACAGAGTTACACCACCACTGCACTCATGCAAGGTTTCAAAAAAACAACTGAATTTCAAAATCTAGCTCAATAAAACATTGGATAGAAAAAGTGTACCCAAATGTATACATATCAATTTGAAATAAAACTTCTTTAACTTCAGCACATCCGCCACTCTTTTACGCCCCACTTATTTGTCTTTCGAGCACTGCACATATGGCAATGGGTCATGCGAAGCTCATCCACTGGTGAGGAAATGAAAGGCGATATCAACTGATGCAAACATTTATTGAATGCTAAACAAAAAACCAAGTGGCATCTAACTTTATACTGTAAAAACTTGATACATATAAAGGAGGCACTGGTGCGGATAAATATAACTTCAATCAATTTTACAGGCAATAATGAAAAGAAAACAAACAATAAATAAAAAAAGCAATTCAATTTACATGTCAAGCATAACAAGTCAACAACAAAAGAAAAGGAAGAAAGCTCAATATTTTCTAAAGTGCCAAAAAAATTGACTGCTTTAGCTACTAAAAGTTCTGTATACTTCGAGAACTCCTCTCAAAAAACAAAAAATTATGAAAATCAAACCCCGTAAAACCGAAGAGAAGAGACGAATTACGTAATATGCCAAAAAAAAAAAAACAAAAAATTTCGGGATGATCAAATCCAAAAAGGGAATAAAAACTTGAAAGATCGATGTTTCAAACTGCAACCAAACCGTTCCTTTCCATAAAAGCGCTAGTAGTGTCAATGGAATGAAAAAAAACCCGAAAAAAGTTCAAAAGAGACCAAAAACCATATCCTCTACTCTATTAAAAAAAGATTAATCAAGACAGGACTAAAGCAAGTGAAGCATACGAAAAACCCTTGGGATTGCAAATAAGCTGCAGATCGCGAAAGGGAAAAACTTTATGATGAACACAAAGGAGGGTTCAAACTAGGGAGGAAAATGTTACCCGGCGTAACTGACGGTGGCAAAAGGATGAATACTTAAACAACAACTGAAACATTTTACCAATATTGACCTAGAAACCAGATAAGAAAAAGTTTCCATCTGAACTAAAAAAGTATAAGGGAAGATCTGAGAAACAATTTTCTTAATCTGGAGGAAAGATAAAACTGAACTTTACATATGAATTAAGTCTGAGGAAGAGCAAAGACATGTGACATAAATAAACTGAAATCAAAGCAAAGCATCTTTAATATCAAATTCCTTCATAAACTTGAAGTCACCATGTACATTAAGAAATCTCCGGAGGAACACTAGAGTTTGATGGTGCATTAAACATTCCTTCAGTCAAGTAACCAGCAACGCCGGTTCCTGAAACAGTTATACTATTATAAGCTTATGCTCCGAGTACTCCTAACTCAAAATATAAAATGAAACATTTATCACATGCAACCAACCATTCATTTCAATCAAAGTACAATTATTAAAAAAGAAATAAACAGTGAATTCACAGATAACAAAAGTACAACTAGTTTTCAAGATACGCTTTTTTAAATAATAAAAAACTTAAGGCAAGATGAAAAAAATGAATCCTCACCACCAATAGCCTGTGTACGCGAAACAGGCAGAAAAAGATCGTGGCGTTGATCGCGATACTGAGCCCAAATTGGAGATTTATTCAGCATCAAACTAATTTTTTCTCCGTACTGTAAGTCAAGACAAACGTTTTTCAAGCCATCTACTATTTCAGCTTTGGCTGCCGCTGGATTATCGACTCCTGCAAAGTTTGAAAATCCTATAGACCGCAAAATTAAATTAAATTGGCAATCCTGATTACATGTCGTAGAACAAGAACCTTGCATATCGTCGCCAAGTAATTTCAGTAAATACTCAATCATACCGCTCGAAAGCATTTGTCCCGCGAGTTCAGAACAATTATGTTTCAACATGCACTTTAGGGCATGTGCTGCTTCTCGCACCATACCTAAAATAAAAAATGCCCATAAATTATTAAATCCCACCAAGGACTGTTATTACAACTACAGGAATGCGAAGAATGAACATACTGGTTTGATTCTTCATTGTTTTCAAAATGCCATTTATGCAACCCAGTTTTGACAGAGAATCCGCACAGTACTGAAACCCATCACCAACTAAGTTACAGAGGAATAAAATACAGCTCAGAAAAAAAACAATTTTAAATATACGTCTTTTATTTGTAATAGTGCAATGAAACGAGAAACTACCGAATTTTCAGCGAGATGAGACAAAACAAGAATTGCGGAACGTGATGCTTCAGGACCAGCACCTGACATGGCGTTGCAAAACTGTGGCAAATAACCCTGAGCAGGGAACTGTAAATGAGAAAATTAATTACACTGCCAGTAATTTAAAGGAACTCGGCCTTTGTTATACAAACACGCGTAACAAAAGAAAACACTGACTTGATCAGCAATTGTTGGATGGTTAACGACAAGTGCAACGAAAGCTTTTGTAACAATTTCTAATTCGGGGTCTGGCTTTGCCATGCAATCCAGAAGACGTTCTAGTAACTCGGTAGCAAACTGCTTAGGATGACGAACTTGCCAAGAAGAGTTGGCAATAAAAAGACGAAGAAAAACCCCTCCAACAACCAGCTCTCCTGACATAACATTTTCGTATGCGCATTTTTCGTTGGGACCACCCTAAATCCAAATACATTCTAGAAAGTAATTTCAATCTCCTAACCTAATTTCGGCCTTCACAAGATTAGCTTCCTATTTCTGTTAAAAAACAAGTCTACAAAATCATAGAATATTACCGCATTCCATTTAACGCCTGGATCGTTTTTTTGCAAAGTAAACAAGCTGTCACACTCATTCCACACACGAGCTTTGATCGTGTTCTTAATCGTTTCGTTCCATATTAGTTCAGGATTTTCGTTTATTGAATCAAGCATGTTAATGCTAGAAGGTTTCCTTTAGAGAACCAGTAGCTGATAATAACCACATCACTATTGCTGCTAATACTGATATTATTATTACCACTACTGCTAGCACTAGTGCTACTACTATTAGCAATAGTGCTAGTACCAATTACATCTCAACAGTTCTCT